GCTCCACTGACCTATAAAGTGAGACACGATCAAGTGAGCCACATCATCCATTCCAAACTAGCTAAAACACAGGCTACCTCAGAAAGTGGATGCACCATACTACCAGTTTCATCCAGAAGCGGTTCTAGAAAATGAGACACATATGTTATACTGGGACCGCAGTATCTGACAAACAGGACAATTCAGCACAACATACCTGATATTACTCTTTGGGACAAATCTGCAAAGAAAGTTTGGTTTATTGATGTTGCAGTCGTCATACCAGCAATATGATGACAACATACCAGACTAAAATCGACAAATACAGAGAACTAGTATTTGCCATAAAAGAACAATGGCGAGTAGTGAAAACTATCCCAATTGTACTATCAGCAGCTGGCGCGATACCAAAACTCTCTGCAGATCGCTGGAAGAATTCTGCTTGGAGAAGCAGCATTATCATCGGCCTCCAGAAGTCGGTTATAATCAGTACCTGCTCACTAGTCAGGAGATTCATGGGAGGATGGGAGGAGGGAGGATTCATGTTGGGTTTTGAAAGCTCACTCTTGAAATTGTATTTGTTATTAGCATTTGAAAACTGTTATTTTATGTTTACAATCTGAAAACAGTTATTTTATGTTATTGTGTTAGAATGCCCTAATTTGTTTTGTAGATTTTAAATATGTCTGTGTTACCATGCTTTGATATTGTATCTGTGTGGTATCCATGTGAAACCAAAAACTTTGAGAAAAATCAAAATAATAATAATAATAATATAATAATAATAATAATAATAATAATAATAAAAATAATAATAATAATAATAATAATAATAATAATAATAATAATAATAATAATAATAATAATAATCAAAGTTATTATTATTATTATTAAGACAAGCAACATTATATACCCCACCACACAGTTCAACCGAGGGCACAATAGAAACGATACTAAAAGTGATATCCAGGACAACGGAAAAAGAATAGGGATTCTGTCAGGAGACCTTAACTGCTAGCTCGACAAACCACAAACAAAAACCCTAGTATTGGGCACACTCAGAGAAGAAGGATTTGCTGTTTCAAGCCTCGGGTAGAGAGAAAAATTAAAATGGTAAAAGTGCTGGAAAAATAAAAACGAGAAACAAGAAAATTATAGAAACATCTAAAATGTATCGAAAAAATAACCACACGTTCTGTCCTTAGCTTTTTAGTTACGAATGAAAACCCTGATTCTCGTTGTATTTTAGCCCAGTGATGCGGATGGAAAATGTTTTCGACTTTTCTACAGAGCAATTTAACAACTCATCTCTTTCTTACACCTTGACAAGCTGTGCTACGGCGACTTACACGTGTTGGATATATATAGTGGTGAAACCATGCCGCTTCGTCAAATTTTGCAGTGACCAAGGAGATACCATAAATGTGGGAGCATGACCATTCCACTGAAAGTGCGTAAGTTGCTTTTGGATAACGGGGTGCATGCGCTGAATTTATTTAAAGGGTGCCAAGCAAATGCCTTACCTGTTATCCGTGCGCCGGCTTTGAGCTTCTCAGGAGTGAGTGCACTGTGTTGAAGGAGTACATTGTATCTACTTAAAATACTAATAATACAAATTGACTGGATTTATGAAGTCAAACCCGTTGAAATGGCGGGAATACGTTTATTAAAAGAAGAAGAAAAACAAATAAACAAATGTCTCTTCACGCACTTGGTCCTCTCGTTACAGTTATCTGTTTGTATTTAGTTCATTTGACTAATTAATGTTAATAGTCGGTCACGCGGGGGGGGGGGGAGTTCGTCAAGGCGCCGTGGGAGCGGCAGAGCTCAGGGCACCGCGTGTATGCTCAAGGGAAGCCGGCAGTCGGCTGCAGCGACCCGGGAAGCAACGTATTGTTGTTCCGTTGCGCGAGTCGCAGGTCGCCAAACGTCGCCTTTATGCAGCGGAATGGTCGGACTCACACAATTGCAACCACCCCCATGAATTACGTATCGGGTGATTACAATTGTGCAGGCACGTGTCGGCCAGTCGCACGTTGGTGAAATATTAGTCTGACAGTAGTTCCACTGGCAAATCTGTATCGCCCTCGATGTTCCAAACACATGGTCTTAGTGGTACGAACACTCACCATCACCTGTTGACATCTGTTGGACTGTGTATAATTTTGTGCGATCTACAAATTCAAGCTGACCGCATGATAACGGCAAATAAAATCGGATATTGTTATCCGTAATTTGGAGTAAAAAACTCAATCTTCTTGTAGATGTTGCTTTGCCCGGCGATCAAAACGTAACTGAGGTGGCAAAGACAAGTCTTAAATACAAGAGTTTGGAAACTGAGATTACCCGAAAATTGTGTAAGGACTTGGCTATATTTCCAGGTAGGAAGTGAAAGACATTGCTCTATTGGAAACAGCCTACCTTTCACACAAACCATTGAAGAGGCACCGATAGTCCCTAGATCTGCTCCTTAAAAAGCTGATTGCAACCTGAAGTAGACTTTATAATCAACCGACTCATAACATCTTTAGTCGTGAATTAGAGGAATAATAATAATAATAATGATAATAATAATAATAATAATATTTATTGAGTCACTTATACTATTGCAATCGCGTATGCCAAGTCAAATATGATGTATCCAGAAACACAACCAGGACCGATCTCAACATTTGCTCAAAGGACCAGGGAAGCTGGACTAAAACCTGACCGTGAAGGGATTATTGCTCTAGAAAGTATATTACAATATATTAAGATAGTATATAGTAAATCATTATTTTTAATATTAAATTTTGATATAGATTTGAGAAAGATGGTTTAAATACTATGTATTGCTTCAATATAATTAAGACTAGCTTGAATAAAAGTTACGTATATTGTGAGAAAATATATGCTATGTTGTAGTCTCACAAGTGTTAGGTCTCGTGGGTTAAACTTACTGTTTAATCTTTGATTTTGTCATTTCCTATTTCAAATATCCCTCTTCTGCCCTAGGAGGCGGGGAAATGTCAAATTGACCTGTGCACTGCTGACATCTATAGGACAGAATTATTACTTCGAAATTGCGTGGCATGACGTCACCGCTGGTTTTGTTGGTGGGTATAGTTAATGTTGTTTATGACGAAAGTAACCATTAAACGCGTGTGTAGATCTTTGCAAATATCATTAGCTGGAAGATTGGAATGTGCTAATTTAAATTGCAGTATCAAGTAAGTTGAGAAGTGAAGAATTAGTGAAGCAGTGTTTGTGACGTTTCGACGTTGATCTTGTTAGGTTAGGCTGTCAGATTTACTCTTCTCTGATTGAAGTTCAGAAGTGGTTGTTGTGTCTTCTGGAAAAGAGAATTTTGTCTTGAACTCAGACATCGTGTTCATTCATAGTAGAAAGTAGGAAGAAGGTTAGTGTTTCATAATGTTGTTAATTTTTATACCCATGCACCAATACTGCTTACAGAAATAAGATAGTTTCTTTACCATGGCACAAGCTGTTGTGGCCAACAGTCAGGTGCGCGAAAGCCCTGCTGTAGAAAGGAATATTCATGAGATGCTGAAAGATACACCAATGATGAATGAGAGTAATAATGCTGTTCATTCTGGTACTGCACCTCCCACCCCTCAACACATGGGTTTTGTGCCTCATCCCACTTCTTTGCCATTGACAACTACAACAGGTGAGAAATGTTTCATTTGAGACAGAGTGATTATACCATCACCAAGATACCGGAGTAACTTAAACCTTTAATTGAAAACAACATTCTCAGTGGGACACATCATTCCATAGACTTTTGCCATAGCAAATGCTGCTTCTCTAAATTCATGGCACTTATTATTCCTATTCTGTTAAATGAACCATCAAAAACCAAAACTCTCTGAATGGATGGATTCTGATTAATTTTATTTTACGCTTTGATGCACCTTCCTCCAATTTTTGATTGTATTTTTATTTCATTTTGAGTTGGTATTGAACGGTTAAAGATAACATATTTTTGTTTATAGCTCCATCGACCATGCCCTCTACTCCAGTAAGCCCAACTCAAAATGGTGATCCTCAAATAATAAAATCACAACAGTCAAAAATTGAAACAATAAAAAACTGGAGCATTTCTACATATAAATGCACTAAGCAGCTCATGTATGAAAAACTGGGAAAAACATCTAGAACAGTAGACACAGGTTAGTAATTTAACCATAGCACATGTTGATAAATTTATTATTGTATAAATTGTAATATACAATATTTTGTATAAATATTTGTGAAAATATATTATTACATTAGATGAAGTTCAAAGCGCAGTGTATTTCATCTGTTTGCAGAATTAGAAGCTCAGATTGAACAACTGCGTGATACTCAGAGGAAGTACTCAAATGTGCTTCGCCTTTCAAGAGCCTTGGCCAGCCATTTCTATCACGTTGTTCAGACTCAGGTTAGGACACAATTATTTACTTTGATTTTGTATGTTGAAATCTACAAGTGCTTGTAAAATTGGAATTCATGTTCTGAAATATTTTTCAGCATGCTTTAGGAGAAGCATTTTCAGACTTGGCACAGAAATCCCCAGAATTACAAGAAGAATTTTTGTATAATGCTGAAACTCAGAGGAACCTTACTAAGAATGGAGAAACATTGTTGGGAGCTTTGAACTTCTTTGTGTCATCAGTTAATACTTTATGTAACAAAACAATTGAAGATACCTTGCTAACTGTCAGACAATATGAAACTGCTAGGTAAATGTAATAGCATACAATTTGTAGCCGTCTTAAAATTTAAATTAATAATTTTTTCTCTTGGTAATTATTGTACATAATAGGTCATAAATTCACTTAGTATGGCAAAGAGGAATTTTAAATCCTAGTGTATATGCAAAATTGACATTGATATATTTCATGTGTACTCAATTGTAATAAATTACCATATCATACAAATAGGAACATTGAGTTTTATCAATTGAGTATATAGTGTTGTATTCTGTAGAGTCCCCTAAATCTGCCTAATTGGCTTCTCAAACTGCAGTGATCATTTCTATTTAATGCTCTGTTGAGTGTATTTGAAATTCAGTGTAACACTGTATTCATACCTTATATAGTGTTATTACCTTCCTTAAAGTTGTATATATCCATTATTATCTGAAATGTAATTAGATATTTGCATAAGAATAAGATTTTGTAAAGAAATTACTGAAATTCATGTTAGGGGGAAATTTTCATGATGTGCAATATTATTTACATAAAAAATTGAATTTTCAGGATAGAATATGATGCTTACCGAACTGATCTTGAGCTTCTGGCCCAGGCTCCTAAGACCGAAGCAAATACTGCACGATTAGAAGAAGCCCAGCATCATTATGAACTTCACAAGACAAGCTTTGAAAAATTGAGGTCAGATGTATCCATCAAGCTCAAGTTCCTTGATGAAAATAGAGTAAGTATTTCAACTAAATAACTAAACCTGTTCTAAAACTTCAACTAAATCTGTTTTCAATAATAATTAGGCTTGAGTTCTTATTTATAGAAATTTGATATTAATAGAAAGAAATGTATATTATCTTGTTAGTCAGTGCCACATGGTTTACACTGTCATGCATGGTTCATTATTCTAAGTCATAAAATCAAAATGGGTTTATCTCAAATGCTTTGGACTCCCTTCGCATTACATTTAAAATTAATAAGATAAATATAAATTTATTTAAACTGCAATTGGGTGTAACCCGGTGCCAGCTAATTACATAAATAAGGTCATATAACTAACATGCTAATTATATAATGATAATAGTAAAAATGATGGTACAAAAATAATAGTGACAATAATAACAACTATAAGATTAACAATAGTGATAAAATAATAATAATATTAAAACTGACTCTTAAAACATTAAATTACTTTAAGAAAAAGAAACTTGTATAATCTAATTCCAAATGTTTGTTCAATTAAGACAACACTGCTTTGGCATTGCACTGCAACGTCACTTCACTATGACCCTTAAATCACTTCCTTTGTTATTTCTCTGCTCTACACTGCACAACACCTCACTTCACAATATATCACTTATGCATTGCTCTGTAATCTACTATTCTTAGTTAAGTCCCTCATTTACTTATTAATACCCTAAATTAATTTCCTAAACTGTTGAACGCTTCGAGGAAAGGGTTCAAAGGTTTTTGCAGGCAATCTATTCCATTTCGTTATCGTTTGATTTGTGAACGAATTAAAGACATGATTCAACACTCATCCAATTGATATTGTTACATGCCAACAAGATATCCTTTTATTTATTTATCTAATAGACATTGATAAATTTCAGATTTCACACAAAAAAATACACCAGACATATAAATACAGATAATACAACGTAACAAGTAGATAATATTGTTAAAAAAATGTACAAAATATTCTTTCACCAGATTTTATACAAATACATTCATAATGTCACTTCTAGATGAATATTCATAATATAGTTTATTTAGCCAAAAGACATACATTGAACAGTTTCAGTTTCAAACTGAGACTGAACAAATTCAAAAACACTTGTAACAAAAATTCAAAGAAGTTCAATATCCAGTAGCATGCCAGATAGATGTAGATGTAGCAAAGTAGAATAGTTGTAACTACAACCATGTAAATGAAATTGCAAGAATATTCTTTTTCTAAAATGACATTTATAAGCTCTGTAACAATTACCTTTCATAATACGAATTAAGAGTTACCTTTCATTTACTATCAGATAAGCAATATGATGAATCAGCTCTTCTGGCACTTGGATTCCAGATGTGTAATAATTTGAAATTAGCACATGATTAGTCTCATTTCTAATATTTACAACAACAAATTATTAAATTGATTAAGTCTTTGCATGTTCTTTGTAGTTCTAAAGTTGAAATGAATAATATGAAAACTCTAAAATGTTTCAACTTCTTTGCAATGAGGCGAAAATAATTGTGATGTTATACTACACTTATTTATTAAAATGACATTGGTATGAATGTAAGGATGCCATAAAGGGAAGAATGTATTAAAACAAATACTTTTCTGTGCTCTGTAAGTAAGCATTATAAAAAATGGTTAAAGAACAGAAAACAGTACACTCTAAGAGAAGGAAGAGGAAAGGAAGTGACGCATGCTTGCATGGCAGACTCGCCATGAAACTTTCCATGTCTTGCTTATAACTATGTATGTTATATACATTGTCCACCCACTGCAAGATTCCTTCAAAACTCTCTTACTAGCCCTTGTCTCCTCCACTGTGAATTTCTCTCTCGCCAGAGCGACTCGAAGTGCCTGTTTAAATGACTTCCTTAAGTTGAAATGCGTTCTCTTCTTCAACCTAAATAATATTGATTGTTTTACATGAAACTCATTATACTACTTTGTTTTCTTATTACTCATCTAATGTAAACTAAATTGGAATGAAAATGATTATACATTTAATTTTAGTAAAACATAGTAACTTTTTGAACATTAAATTTTAAATATTTATTTGAACTTAAGAGAATGAACTGGAAAAAAAATACTCAGAGTTTTGCTTACTTAAGATATGGCTGTTCTCTCTCTTCTTTATGATTCACATACATGCCACAATAATTTTGGTAGCTTTGAATACGACAGTCATTCAATGGAAAGAACAAAACTACCTCTCTCTGTCTTGACAATTTTAGTTTATGTTGCATGGTCTCCATTGTGGCATGGTTGCAATTTTAGTTTATGTTGTATGGTCTCAATTGGCATCTCTCACATGAAACATATTACTTTCAATTTTAATTGTAAATATATATAAATCATGTTTTGAATTGGATATTATGTAAGATTGTACTACAGTGGTACAGGCCTTGTTGGTTCCTTGTGGAACTTCCTTTGAAAATCAGAGTTTAATCTTAATGTTTATTTTCTATCTAAAGCAGTTTGTGCTATCAAATCCAATTATATATACACCAACCACTGTAATTTAATACTACCTTTAGTACTCTGACCATTATTTTAAAGTTTGTTTCATTTCCTCTAATATTCTCATTTCCTTTCTAAAATTCTCTAGTTGTTCTTGTTATTCTTTGTTAATTTACTTAGCATAACATGCATTTGTATGGGTTGGCTTAATTACGGACTGAGTCACAATGTTTGACATTTTCCACTAAAACAGTTAAAATCATACCTGCTAGAGAGTAAAGTAGAATATTTTGTGGGAGAAGAAGCAAATTCATGATTTAGCAGACAACATTGCAGAAAATAATGATGGCTTGAACAATGTTGCCTTTTGAACTTGTCATTGAGAGAGACAGCTTGACTTACAAGTTTTATAGTAGACGTAACCAATGATTTCTGGCTTTAGAAAATGCTTCTTAGTCTTCGTTATAAAAACAAATAATAATTAAAAAAATTATACTACTTCTAAACTTGTTGAAAAAGCTCAACAACAAAGAAATATGTTTTTCATTTTTGTTACATGTATTTTTGTTTCATACAAGAACTTTTACAGAAAGCTCAATTGAATAAATTTTTCACCCAGTGTAGAATCATGAGTTCAGTTTTATCTTGCTTGTTAATTGTATGCTTTTTAACCTTCTGTTGGGCATGTCTTTGATACTCACAAATGCAGGCCCACAGAAGCACTGCATGCTGCCTCTAGAAAACAGACTTTAGTACCTTCAAATCTTCTATTATTTAATTGAAGAAGGAAGAAAAAAAAGTCACAACAATTCATCATTACATTTTTAAAGTTAATACATTTTACAAATCACAGAAATGTGACTAGTTTTAGGTATAGAATAATAAATAACACATCGTTTCAGAAAACCTTATAAAAACATATATAACAAATAAAATAAAAGTAAAATTAACTTCAAACTTGTTATTAAATAGTCAAATTAATTTCAATGAAGCAGTCTGTAGGCTTTAGATAAGCTTCAATTGTTTTTCATCAAGTCATTTCCAGTAACTCAAGATGATGCCCGATTTCCTCCTTATTTATTAGTATGTGTCAGAGTTACTGTAATTACGCTTATAATGGTAATAAAAAAATGAGAGATTGTATAGATGGTTTTAGAATGGATTTGTAGGAAATACAAATAATAATATATTGAAAACTATGCTGTTCCTTCTAGTCAGGTATTATTTTTATATAACTGTATTAACTGTCATAAATATTTAGCATTGGAATTAATGTCAGTAGGTGTATTTTAACTGCCTTTTGGTACAAACTGCAATAATCTACACTAAAGATTTTATTTCAGATCTTTTTATTTTTTCCATAGTTTGCTTCAATTAAAATATTTGAAAATTGAGAACAGTTCCTGTTCACTTTTTAGCAGTTTATCAAGATTGTGATCTATTAGAAGGTTTTGATGAAATTTTGTGGGATTGTGCCAACCGATAACGTCCTCAATCTGTTCGTTAATGTGTTGCGAATTAACTTCATAATTTATTATTTATATGTTTTTTTGAGTTATTACATTTCTGTATTTTAAATTATTGTATAATAAGTTTTGTAAATTTTCAGATTAAGGTGATGCACAAACAGCTATTGCTCTTCCACAATGCTGTGTCTGCTTACTTTTCTGGCAATCAAACTGCCCTGGAAGCAACCTTAAAACAATTCAATATAAAAGTGAAGTCACCCAATTCAGCAATGCCCTCCTGGCTGGAGCAATAGTACCACCAAGTTGTCACAGCCACGGCTCCCACATGGTATCTCGTCCCTGCTCCACTCATCACTTACATTGCCCAGTCTTCTCACCTCGCTGTGTGGTCTTGGCTGGGATATTACCGGCAGGCTCGTTTGTTCCAGAAAGCTAGATTCAAAGCTCTTCAAGCGTAGATCAGGCTGTTCTTTTAGAGAAAGTCGTGATCATTTGAGTTTGAAATGGTGCATTTACTCATTTCCTTTCCTTGGATCTTAGTAAGAGACTGCTAGGATTGCGAAAGGAAAAAATTTGTTTCATGTAATCGTTTCAGCATCTATGTTGCACATTTATGAATTGCTTCATATCATGACCAAATTTACTGAAAAGTGTGTTCTTAACAAGCATCAAATTATATTATGATAGATCACGTACCTTCTAATACTGGATCAGAATTGTGCTGTTGCATAAATGTTTAATCACCATTAAAACAAGAGAATGTTATTCAAATGTTTGTGGTTACACTGCATTGGATGACCTTCAAGGGTCCAGGAATTCACTGAATACTTACATATGAAGAGGATATGTACGATATGTAATAATCCTCTATAGAATTTGAGTGTGAAATAATTGGCCAGCAGTATGTTCTGAACTAGTCTATGACTCATACTTAGTTTGTAAGAATAATGTTGAATCCTTTGTATTATATTTGTTCCAAAAAAAAAAAAAATGACACATCTTGATCATAAAATGTCAAAATGTGTAGTATGCAAGTATAAAATGTCAGTCTTGATTCTTCAGTAAGTGATTTAAGCTTTTACTGAGATACAATTTTATCTTTAGACAAATTTAGTTTTCATGTGTGTGATCACTTGCAAAGAAATTGGAAAAGGAATGTATACAGGGTGCTGACACCAAAGCTTCAGGGGCTTTGTTCTTATGCAAGAAACCTTTTTACATTTGTTATTTTGTGTGCAAGAAAAATGAGTAATTCATTGGCTAGTGATTCAGGATCTAGCTTCTAGGTTAGGGACAAATATAATTACTCTTTTAATATTTGTGTGCGTGAATATGGAGTGGTCTGTTCTGATGTGTTTGTTACGTGGTTTCCTTTATATTTTGTGTGTGTATTTATTTTAAAAATTTCCTATTGTGGAAGAACTTGAGTAATTCAGTATTATGCCTGTGGATCATTATTATTTTCATTGACTATCTTGGAAAGTCTGAATTGTTAATTTGATGTAGATTTTGGGAACAGCTGTGATGGTGTTCCATGGTATCCACCATATTTCATTCCAGATTATTAGTATACTCATTCTGATATTTGGACTTTTGTGAGACAACAATATGTATTCAAGTACATGTTTGTAACTAAATGTCTCACAAGTCCAGTCACATAGGGTTGTGCCAATGTGATCTCTAATTACAGTGCTTATCTGGCAAAAATTTTGTTTGTTTATCTAGATGTCTTCACACATAGAAGACATTTAGAATCTCCCATTTCTACATGCTTATCCTTGTGTATAATATAGAACTTAGGGAAAAGAAAATGATAAAAAAAATAATAAATGAAATTTGATGGTGGCACCAAGTTTTGCACACAGGAATAAAACAATTATCTATCTCAAGTACTTGCGCCACGAATTTTGACTATAAAATACACTGAAAGAATTGAATATAAATGGTTTAGTTTGCTTAGGCAAAGAAATGTGACTGAATTATAAGTTGCAGAATATCTAGTCAAATGCTGTTTCCTGGGAATTTCTTAGTATTTGAAGTAAACAATTATCTAGTTCTTTTGTACAGTTTATTCTTGTTATGCAATTACTCTGAATTCTGTGCATGAAGTTAGTCATTGTTTAGTTCTCCATGTAACCTACAACATTGTCATGCCAGTAAATATTCTTGTGAACGATTCTGCCACAGCGAGGTGTACATTTTATTAGGTTTCAGTGATTATTACTACAACCTTTCATGCAAGTGCTTTTGCTAGTACTAAATTCTGTCTTGTCTTTATATGATAAGAGACATTTCATGTAGTTAAGTTTACAATAGGATAGCATATTTACATTAGGAAATTATTTCATGATGGCTTTGAATAGATTTAATCATGAAGAAATAAAGGTATTTAATTATTTGTACAAGATGAATTTGCATGTCTTCACTTTTTAACATACTTCTCCTTTAAAACTCATAAATAAATATATACACGACATTATCAGAAATAAGTTGAAATGTACACAACTTAGTAAACTGGTCCATCATCCAAATTATCATCCTCCTCATCCAAGTAAGATTCACCATTATCAAAATAATTGTTAACATAATCAGTCCCGTCATCCATTTCTTCATCCTGGTCCTCCTCCTCTTCTAACTCTCCTTCTTGCTGCTCGCCTTCCTCTTTCTCTTCTTCTTTGTTTTCTTCACTCTTTTCTTCAACATCTCCTTGCTCTTCAAGTTTTTCCAGTTCATCAAGCCTGAAAACCAATGCATAAAATTTAAAAACGTTCTTGTAAAACATGTTCCAGAATTTTTATAATCCCTTTCAACTTACTTGGTGCTGACGTCTTCTGCAAACCTCACTTTCTTTGAGGATTTGCCTTTTATCTGAGGTGGTGGGGGTGGTCTCTTCTTCTTCACGGCACTCGCCACAGGTCGCAACTCCATCGGAAATCTTTTCCAGTCATAATCTAAAGCGCCGTTTTTGTTAGGCGTTTCAACATTTTTGTAATCCGAATATCGTTCGATGTCTTTGACTTTGGCAGCAGGGAGAACATAAGCAGGAGAGTACTTCAAAAACTCCACGTAGTCTCTCTTCAGGGCTAACAAATACTCAACTTCTGAACCAGACTTCAACGGAACAGGTCTCCTTTCCAATGGAGGGTATAAAGGTGGAGGTTGAAGGACAGGCCCCGGCAATGCTTCACCAGCCCCAAATCCTAACTGTTCTACATTGAAAGACATCGCTCCTCGGCCTCTCCCACGACCACCCCCACCCCTTCCTCGGCCAGCCATGTTTATTTAGTGATTTCCAAAGATTTTAAGCCTGAAGTTATTGCCTCCTCTTCGGTTTCTGCTGTAAAGTCCTCCTACAAAGAAAAATAATAAAATTAAACACTTGAGATTATGTAGAGAAAAAGTCAACTGAACATACATTCTCATGGCATTTCAACAGATGTGTAATATTGCACCGAGGTGCCTAAATAAAAGCCATATTACAATTTCTTCTACAACTCTTTTTCTATCAAAATGCAAGACACAATCCAGTTACTGACACCAAGTAGGATATTCTGAAATTAACTACTATTTCACATGCTCATAAATTCATATTTTCCTCATAATCCTTGATTTTTTCAGGAAATGTTATGGAAGATAATACTGAGAGAACATTATAAATAAAGAAATAGTAGTGTTCTTTTTATTTTAATATTAATATCAAAAGACATTGTTCAATAAAAATTCACATTTTTAAAAATTATTAACAGAACCATTTGCAATTTTCATTGAGATGAAATTAAAAGAATTTATTAAATCATGACACTTCCTTAATGTACATTTTAAGGACACAAACTCTAAAAGAAACATCAGTAATTTTACAAATCCCTAGGTGAATTATTATATTTGAATAAATATAATAATTGGCCATTATAATTTTCAAATCTTTTCCTTTAATTTCCTATGATGTCAAATTCAGCACAGTACAGCAAATCTCCAAATTAAATCAAGCCAATTAAAATATGGAGATATTTCAATAACTAGTTAAAGCTCAGCTATTGAGCAAAAACACAGACCTAAAAAAACATTTTCCCTTAATTATGAAATTAATGTTCAACAAAAACGAGGTGCATCTTAATGCACTTAACAACACCTTAATCCAAGGGCTGCAGCAGGCTCATGAAGTTATGCTACCAAAATAATCACTGAAAGTTTTTAAATTTAATGAAAAAAAAAAAAAGATTTTATTTTGAAGGTTTAAAAAAAACAAAGAAAAACATTCATACATACAACATTTGGCCTTTCTTACCATTTTTTTACTTTCAAAATTTCAGATAATTAGTGTTCTATTGTTATCATATTTAATACAACATTGTTGATGACAAATCATTTTTAACAATAAAAACTTAAAAGTATCAAAAAAAATGTTTCTTTCAAAATCTTGAAATTATTTTATTGCACATCTCCAATTCAGCATTTATTCTAATTTAAATTGTAAAGCAAAATAACACCATTACTTTGCAATTAAGAAAACGATACGCAACATTGCCCCCCCCTCCTCCTCAAAGAAAATAAAACTAGTGGCCATTTAAGTAAAAGTCGTAAAAAGTGTTGTATTACATTAAATTATCATCAAACGCCTAGTTGTTTACATCTTAAATTGAAAGGGGAAATCCTTGTTTAATAATGTGTACTTCTTAAACCTACAACTTCAATTTTGGATATTGAGACTTGTAATGTAATTATTATTTAATTCAAGTTAAAGAGTTCTTTTCAGGAGTTCTGAAACTAAACTCATCAAATATTTCTTTCACCAAACCATATTAAGTGGCTTCCCACCCCTCAAATACTTCACAAAAAAAATGTAACATGGACAGCTCTGGTCAACCTTGACATCTTGTTCCTAATTTTTTTTAAAAAGTCATAATTTATAAATGTTCTATATCGACCAATAGTTTGTTTTCCTCCAAAGGTGCATATTTTTTAGTTTGAATCTAGTGTTTTCTTCTTTTGTAATAATTAGCATTAGGCCTCTTCTAAATTAATGCTATTGAAATCATTCAATATAAGAATATGAATATAAGCCTTTTTCTTCAGGAAAATACACAATCCTACAAATCAAATTAGAACAGAAAACATCTTTCCTTTGTCGTATTAACATCCTAATAGCCTCTGCAAAGCATTTTCACTAGTCTCACTTACGGGGTTATATATTACTTTGACAATCAACGAGCAACTCGGACACGTAGCCACTTCTTCACCGGCAATTAGTTCGTCCTGGAAGTAAAAAATAACTTAATTTACTGTGTCAAGTTGCATGGATTATTACAAGCATAGAATGAATTTCATATTTCCTGACTATGATCTCACTTTTGTTATTTGAAACCTATCGCCGCACGGACACGGATAGTAATAAGTCTCTTCTTCTTCATCATATTCAAAGTCTTCAATTTCAATTTCGTCGTGGTAAACAGACATAGTTTGTTATATGCACATCCTTTCAAAATCCTCCAGAATGAGGTTAGAAATCACAAACATCACAGAACCAGCCGATTTTACACGTGGTAATCTGACGCAGAAGACGTCTCAATGTGTTCATGTGCAACTTGCCGTTTCTCAATTGTTAGTTCCTTGAGAATCTGGTGTGGAGGGAGTGATGAGTTTCTGGAGCAAACGAAAATGTTACTTTTTGCAGAGAAGGGAATAGGAGAAAAGGTAATATCCTGACATGAGCTTCACAGAATTCCGTAAGTAACAGCATTGTATCAAATTATATGGAAGAATGAAATGTTCCCCTAATGGACGAGCACCACAGTTATTTCGAGAGAGTTCGTCCGCTTTTCCACAGGGAAAGTTTGTGTGTCAATTGCGGTGCCGCTACGTGGGGTAGAAAAGTGAAAAGACAGGAATGTCCAATACAGTCCTGTCACACCACTGCAGTGTGTTGCCGGATAGTGTCAGATACCGCAGGTAGCTGTGCCACCTTTGGGTTAAGCGACCGTTTGTTTCATTTAAGAACATGATGAATCGAAGATCTGTTGTAATTGCATCCGCTGCTCGTACACCAATAGGTGAGTGATTTTTTTTTCCGTGTTTTCTTCAGAAATCATTTTTAGTAGGTTTATAGGCCGTCAATTTCACTGTGACCTAGTGTCATAGATAAACCATAGTATTTATTTTAATTCTCTACTTGAAAATAAATTAATTATATTTCTTACATATTATGATTCAGGTACATTTTGTGGATCTTTGTCATCCTTCAAAGCTCATGAATTGGGAAGTATTGCAATTAGAGAGGCATTAAAGAGAGCAAAGGTAGATCCAAAGGATGTCTCTGAAGTTATATTGGGACAGGTAAGGCCGGTCTTTGTGCCTTGATCTCTGCTTATCTCCTTGACCCCAAACTTCTTTGCATTACTATTGTGGAACCTGTTTTTGTTACAGGCTTTGCAGGCTGGTCAAGGACAAAATCCTGCACGACAAGCATCCATGAGGGCAGAAATACCTGAGAGTGTGCCCTCGTATCTTGTTAATATGTTATGTGGGTCTGGTTTAAAGTGAGTCTTGTTTATTAAAATGAACATGTGGGAATTTGTATTTTATGATGTTTGAAAACCTGAATGCTAACTGTAATCATAATGGTTATAGTTCTTGTTAAGTCATTTTCAAGTGTAAGCAGAATTCATGGCTCTCTGTTTGCTCAATAGTTGTTTTACCCACTAATTTGTGATTAGCATGTGAACAGGGAGCCTGCTGGTTACCTGAACCTGCTTTTCCTGTGGCTTCCCTGTTTCTATGTCTAAAAGCATCAACACCTGCATAAGATCACATAAAATTCCCTTAAGTGAAATGATGTACAAATTTTTAGCAATGATTCTGACCTAAAATAAGAATTTTCCAACTCGGTCTACCAAATAAGAATTTGTTGTTGTTTTTTGTTTATTTCAATTTAAATTTTTAGTGACTATGCTTTGAAATTTTTAAATAAAAATTATTTGCCTTAAAGTAGATTTTCTTCTCTATTGAAGAATGTTCATCGAATATTCACAAACATAGTTTCAAAAAAGTTGAAAGGTATTTTCTGAAAATAAGTTATTAAAAAAAGTTCTAGAATATTTTTTTCTAAAAAGTTTTCTCAATTAAAATTTGGAATCAACATTTTCAAAAAATTGTAAATTAGTGAAAGTAACTTAAAACAATAAATTTACTTGTTTAAAAAATCTCAAGAATGAAAGGGTTTTAAAATTAAACTTATAAAAATAAACAGTTCTCAGTGTGTAATATAGTGGATAATTTAAGTAAGGGTTAGGGAATTAGAATTCAATGAAACATGTTATTTCCGGTCAGAATATTTGTTCAAAACATTTTACATTATTTTGCTTGTGGACACTTAACAGACTTCCCCGGCTAGATGTCTCATCCTTTAGCATGTGTATGAACTTAAATAGGCATTGAGAGCATTCATCACTCTAAAAACTGGTTTTATATTAACAAGTACCTTTCAACATTACCCTATAGAAGGCAAGTTCTGTAAACATTACACATAATCAGTAATACAAAAAGTTTGCATCTGTGCATTGTGTTTATTTGCACAGATAATAATTTTCACCATAATAAAATTCACTAATTATTGGTGAAGTGGTGTTAAGATTGGAATATAAATGTAAAGAAAGATCTCTTTACCAACCTTTTTTTAAAAAAAATATTGCTAAAGATGTATTTTATTACTACTTATTTTGCACACTATTCTACCTGTGAAATTTCAACAAATAAAGCCCTAGAATTCAGACTACAAACCCTTCGTAGGCAAATTATGCTAAATTAAAATGGTTTTCATTTCCACCTCCTTAAATGAAGTTATTGCTGCTCTTCTGTTTACGTAAAGGGCTTTTTAAAGTGCTTGTTAATTTAAAAAATTGTGAAAATGGCAGAAAATTGTTTTAATTTTCATTTATTTATTTATTAATTTTTAAATCTGTGTCTTGTTCTTATTGATGCTTCAAACCATTGTCATCTAGTAATCTTAATTTTAGAGGTACTGGCCATTTTCTCTGCTGTCACTTTATCACTTACCTCTTTGAGTAGTCAGCAGCTGAAAGCTCTAAAGTATGTCATTTTCTGAGTTTGAATTCTCATGCATTTCAACGATGCAAAAAACATATCTTATGGACCAGAAAATGTTATAATTCTCCTTTATACAAACTTCAAAAATGAGGTGCATTTTATAAAACTGGTTGGGAAAATCAAAAATATATTTAACTATATCCAAGAAAAAAAAACTATAGAAAAGTGGGTGGAATAAAGCCAAGAAATATTACATAAATTGATATTTTTTTATGTTTACATTAAAAAATACAATTTAAATGTGCTCTGCGGTAAAATCATTGCAATTATTAATTATCCCGTGAGATACATGACAATCAGATACAAAAAAAATTCAGTTAATCTTTTTTTTTTTTTTTTTTTTTTTTTTTTTTTTTTTTTTTTTTTTAAATTGTATTTTTGTGTGTAAGAAGAAACAACATAAATTTGCCAAGAATTAATGAAATACAATAATTAGGGATTTACTCCCTTAGAGTTGAGTACTTAACTACATCATATTCATTGCAACATTCAAAACAGTGTCCTTCCCTTCACACTAGATTTGAATGCTCATTTCTTTACATTTCAAGCCATTCCCAGATCTTAATGTATAATGTCTGTGTTTCAATTGCCCTCTGTTTTCAGGCTTTTCCTCCTTTTTTTCAGTAATCTGTTGAATCATGTATTAATATTATTAATCTTGCATATGGTGAATTCAGATGAAATTGTAGTCACTGTCACAATATTAGATCAATGTTGGAGATCAATTGGTTGCATTAGGTTTTGAACTTTTTAACTCTACACTCCCAAGAATAGTAATGAATGAGTTTGATGAATGAATGAGTGAGGTGAACTGTTTAGGATTTGTTAGTGGTCTTGATAACTTTCAATGTAGATAAGTAAAGAGGAAGACAGGATATATTATATTAAAGAATAATTCTATATCTCGTTCTGAAGATTAGAGTTCCTTTAACTTAATTTTGTCTTAAGAAACATTTTAGCATTGTGGAACATTCTGCTATCAACAAATTGTTATTACAATATTCTTGAATAATACTTTTGTTTTGTCAGATTGAGTAAGTTTTTCTTCTTGTATTTTGGTGAAGTGTAGAATTCGAATGCATGGAAAATTAATTGTTAGTTGGAACGTTTTTTTAGATCCGTTGTTCTGGGAAGTCAGGCTATTCTAACTGGAGATTCTCAGATAGTGGTTTGTGGAGGACAGGAGTCAATGAGTCAAGCACCTCATACCATGTACTTACGTGGAGGTGTACGAATGGGAAATGGAAACTTAGTGGATTCCATGATCTCAGATGGACTTACAGATGCTTTTCACAGTATTCATATGGGCGAGACAGGTATATAGGTTTTTTTGTTATTGCGCCATATATTGTCTTAGACTGTAACATACCCAGTGTGCTTCTGATTTTTCAGCTGAAAATGTTGCAAAAACTTATAACATTTCTCGCGAAGAACAAGATAAGTATGCCTTAGAATCTCAGCAACGTGCAGAAAATGCCCAAAATGCAAAGTGCTTTGATGCAGAAATAGTAGCAGTTACTGTTCTCAACAAGAAAGGTTCTACAGAAGTTAAAAGTGATGAACATCCTCGACATGGAAGTACAATAGAGGCATTGCAAAAATTAAAACCAGCATTTATTAAAGTTTGTATATTTTCTTATAGGATTTTAAACTATAAAATGAAAATTACTTTGGTGACTTACCCATCCGATATTAATCTTTGTAGAATGGGACTGTGACAGCTGGTAATGCATCTGGAATTAATGATGGTGCTGCTGCTGTTGTACTCATGAGTGGCGAAGAAGCAGAATCTCGGGGATTAACCCCCCTGGCTAAAGTTGTTTCGTATGCACAAACTGGAGTTGACCCTGCAGTTATGGGGACTGGTCCCATTCCTGCTGTAAAACGTGCGGTATGCTATAAATTTTATCTATCTTACTTAAGGTGTTCTTAGTTCTTCTATAATGTTCATTTTGTGTCTTTGTATTACAAGTTAATTAATTCATAGTAGGGTTAGATGAACTGTTAAAATAATGTCATTGTTATTCACTTTCTTTATTGTTAATTTATTTGATTCTTCTTTCAGTAAATTTTGTTTCATAAACATTTGTCTGTCTTGGTGAATGTAGTTTATAATAAAGCTTAAATGTTTCGAAATTTCTATTTGTGTTTCAGAATAACAGACTATCTTGTTATCTATCATATCTTATATGTGCAACAATTCTCACACAAGATAAAAGTCCATTTAGCTAAAGTCGTTGTTATAGATGGGTGAAATACATTAGGGAATAAATCCCCTGTAACAATTTCTTGCAAAGAATGTCCGTCCCGTGAAAATCGTTCTGTATTGATTTGCTGAGGAGCAGGAAAGTGCTCCCCTGCGGATGGGTCAAGTCATCCTCCCTTCCCCCTCTTTCAGCCCTTCCTGCTTCTCAACCCCTCTTCTCCTTGCCCCACCACTTTCTCATTTTCATCCTCCTACCCTCCCCTCCCCTCCCCTCCTCACTCTCTTACCATTACAAGTTAAATCAGTACTCTCCCTTTATCAGTAAGTGATGTTTGGCTGGGATTAACAGCAGCAGTTTTCTCATTCCAAACCTCTTTGATAGATATTGTTCTTTCTTGTCTTCTTAATTGCCCAGATGATACGATTATCTGGACTACCTACACCTGGGCCGTCAAACTTGGTTACTTTCAATTAAAAGTATTAAAATTAAAGATTATCACCAAATATTGATGCTAAGCATGAAAGAGATATGATAAGGTTCTAGGGCCTTGATCTACCTATGCCTCAAACTTAGTTTTGGTTTTGGCTGTCTAGGAATTAGCCATGAAATATCATATTTCTCGCATACTATTGGCGAAGTATAGAGACAGTATTATAATACAGCTGCAAGAAACAGTAATTTTTCGACTACACATGTGGGTCCTGATACTGAGATGTGGATAAATATCTTTTGTATTGGTAGTAAATTATTTTGTCTAGCACATAATTTGCTCAGATTCCATGCTTTGAAGATCCTTGATAGTGAAAAATTAGCCGACAGAAAATATGCTGTCCGTCTGTCTGAAACGCTAGGGTCCAAACTACTCTGAGAATTTTCTCCAAAATTGTTGTTCCCTCCCCTCCCTGTGAATATCTGTGTATCAAAGATGACTTTTTAAAGAAGGTTTATATACAATTTTTTTTTTTAAAGTAGTTTTTGCATTACTTTTGGTAGAAGTAAGTGCAATTTAAAAAAAATATCAAACATGGCTACAAAGTTTCCTTTTTTTTTTCTTTCTTGAATATAAAGAAGTACACTCATTAAAATGACACAGGGTTGATTTTCAGAGAAATCTCTTTAGTTTCAAAAATTCTAAAGAATTAACATTGCAAAACAATATTGATAATAGAGATACTTCACTTAATGAAAGTTGTTCTTCAAAATTTGCTATTGTAGCTGTTAGCGCTTCAGATTGCTATACTCAAGTTCAATCCGATGCCGATTGAAGCTTAGGATTTTTAATAGTGAAGAAATCCTCCATAATCCTTCCTTTGGAGGGGAAGTAAAGCCGGCTGTCTCATGTTTCAGATTTACTCTATATAAAATATCCTCAAGGTTAAAAGAAGCCCCTGAGCAAAATTCAAAGCGCCTGTTTTATCATCCAAGTGATACCCCCTTTCTTCCTTTGGTGAAAGGAGCTTAGTGGAATTTGTGGACCAGATGGGAGAGCAGGCCCAATGGCCTGGTGTGGACCAAGAAAAATACTGTCATAATTGTATTGCATTGAAAACGACATCTTTAAATAAGTCCATGTACAATTTTTAGAAAATATCAAGTTTTTTGAGTAATTATTGCAAATCTTCTGAATTAGAATTTCCTGTTCTTCTTTTGCTGATGAGAGTCACTGCCTATCAGGTTGCAATAAGAATGGCAAAGGTGCATCGTGGCAGTTTGAAATTCTCAGAATTACTTCTCATTGTTGGTTGATGATTCTGGGTGTTTGGAAAGCAGATTTGGATTGTCGAGTTTGTGTTGATGTATTTATTTATTTATTTTCAGGTAATCACACAAAATTTCATTATTAGAATAATTATCAGTAATTAAACAAAATCCGTGATGAATTTGCCTTCAATTAAATCTACAAAGGAGGTTACGGGAGTTAAGTAAAGATCAAAATCAGTATTATTTGCCGCAACACATACATTTATAGAATTTACGAATGACATATTCATCAAGGAGCATTAAATCATCTGTTCGTCATACAATGAAGTGTATATTGTATAATATGTCTGAGAGCTTTGGAAGGGATTAACCAGTATATGTTAGAGGGTAAAAAAGGACAATCCATATAGTTGTTGACTAGTTTGAACAAAAACATGATAATAAACATAGATTCATAAGAGTAGCTATGTTAGAATAGTCATGCATTAATCTGAGGAATTAGAATGATAACACACACATGCATAGGCAGTGTGCCATACAGCGTGATGAGTGTTGTCCCATCAGGAGCCAATGGCACCTTCTGTATCAATTACAATTGATCTGAATTTATAAAATGTATTCATATAAATAAAATGGAAATATTTGTTCTCAAAATTAATTGAAAGCATATGAGAGACTCCTATATCTCTATGACCTCAATGTGAAGTTTAAATTTAATTGGGGATCAAATATGACAACCAATTTTTGAATTGTAAAGCTGTCTCAAGATTTATACCAGTCATCTGATAATTCCAAGTACAATGGGGATCAAGAGACGAGGTCACTCATAACTTTACATTTATCAATATTTAAGGCTAAACCATTCATATTGCACCATTGTGCGATGAAATCTATATTTTCATGAAGTTGTATACAATTGGATGTTGTTTTAATATGCATAAATAATTCAAGATCATCCGCGTGTAATAAAAATAAACATGTTAAGTGATTTCCAATATTATTGATGAAAAGTAAAAATACTAATGAAAGGCCCAGATTGTGGCACATCTCATTTAACATCAATTGCTTGAGGTATGAATGATATATATTTAAATTCTGGGATCCACCAGTATTGGCTTTAAAATAGTTCATTTTTGCAGCTCATGCACTATGATTGGTAATGACATTTGTAATGACATTTGTATGTGGTGGCCGAGATATATTAGTATGGAATTTGCGATATTAGAATATTACGTAACCAGTATTATTGCCAGTAAGTATGTGCTTTTGTAACACCACTAGTTTATGCAGATGGTTAATGGATTCTTAAAAAACTGAATCTAATGGTTTTTAGTGCACAAGTGGTCCACGTATTTCATCTACTCAAAATATAGTCTCCTATATCTCTAGGCTAGAGAAATCTTCTAACGAGAATCTCAAACTTTTAAAATCATTGTCAGTGATTATACATAGTTAAACAGTTTTCGGTGCCTCTCAAATTGATGTATCATGCACTACCATTGCAACCTATTTGCTAATATAGCCCTGTTTGCTTCTTTTGTGTAGCTTGAGAAAGCTGGTTGGAAGAAAGATGATGTAGACTTATATGAACTGAATGAAGCTTTTGCTTCTCAATCGCTGGCAGTTGTTCGAGATCTGGATTTAAATCCTGCAAAAGTGAATGTCAGTGGAGGTGCAATTGCCCTTGGCCATCCAATTGGTGCATCAGGTAAAATGTTTTGAATAACATTAAGTGAACCCTGAATTTAATTTCTTTTGAGGGCTGAAAGAATGAAGCTGAATATAGCATTTTTATTGTGTTATAGAATAGCTTTTATTCAAATTGATTTAACTGAGCAATAAAAATTTGTTTAATACATAAATATTGTGCTCTTGCCAGGTGCTCGCATATTGGTCACCCTTCTTTATGCTTTGGTGAGAACAGGAGGCAGAAGAGGAGTAGCAGCACTTTGTATAGGAGGAGGCATGGGGATTGCCATGTGTGTGGAAAGAGAATGAACAGGGGTTTGTTTGTAAAATTGCCCAATGTACTTATTCTGTTTAGCACTTCATGGCTGGATTCTGGTTGTAAAAGTATTTCATCTTACAAAAACGTGCATTGCATTACAAATGCAGTACTTTCAAGATGTAAGAGGAATGTAGAGGAAGGAGAAATTATACTTACGCTATTTGCCAACAAATGATAAAAGCTTCTGCAAAGATTTCACACAAGTTTGTTTTGATGGTACTAAAATAGTATTACATGTGTTTGTGAAACATATCTGAATACATGATCTTTTTCTTTTCTTTTTTAATATGAGTACTTCCAGCAGGTCTGGAATGTTAGTGTGTGCCTTGCAAATGGAAAGTGGCATTTTTTACTTAATAAAATGACCTTAGTGATGTCACAATCCCATGACATATTCATGTAGTATTAAAGGAATCCCCAGTTTTATTTACTTTACATTCATTAAAAATGATTTTTATATAACATTTTATATTTGTTATCATTTTTTGTGTTCAGTTTAGTGGGAGGCTTAGATTCTCTAAGATGACTGAAGTGAAGCTTCAAGAAACATGCTAGTATTATAAAACTTTATTAGGATGGACCTGGGTAAATGTGAAAGCAGAAATAATTATAAAATGAAGTTTAATGTGTGAATTTTATGTTAAAAAGGAAACCTTTTGATAGAGAGAGATATTGAAAATGGATTGTATAATGAGTTTGCTTTAAACTTTTTACTGTTACATATTTATATCTTGCATGCACAGAGAAACAATGTAGAATTGTTCATATTTTTATATGAAGTATGGAATTTTATTATATTCTGGAAAAGAATTGTTGAATGATAAGACATTTACATTTTGTGTATTTTCTCATTTAAAGTGCTTTCTGGATAACTTCTTCCTGTTGAAAGTTGCAGCATTAATAGTATTGCATGTGTTTTTATTATTCAAAGTAACCAACACTCGCTATTTTATAGTCACAAAATGTATGATCTCTTTTATCAGTGTGGATATTTTTGGTGTTTGGTATATCTTTTGTTTGCTTTATGCACTATAGTTTATTATTGAATTTATGTACAAATTCACATAAATTGTCTGTCACATTCTATCAAAATAACATTTAATAAAATGTGTAGCCAAAAGTCATAATTACATTTTTCTTTACATTAAGGGCTGAGGGGCATGGCCAACTGGTGTGTGGCACTGAGACTTCCAAAGACAAGCTACCCACCCCAACAAAGATGAGATTCCTTGCCAATTTTTGCAAAGATCTTGAAATAAAAAAAATCATAACAAATTTCATATCAGCTGAATTGCTTAATATTGCTGCTGTTACATGAGAGAGAATTGTTGAGGAAGACATGAAAAAATGTAACATACTGGTAGGTCAGTGGTGGAGTGATTGGGGACACCCCAATTGCAAGAAAAAATATTAAATCCATCCTAATACCTCAAAACCCAAAAACTTGTGCTATTATTTTGGGCTTATTCACAGCATCCATAAGAATTTTTTTGCTGCTCCACAAACCCCCAAAATCAAGGTTTTAAAAATGGGAGATGGCAAAGCTAGCACCTCCACTTAAAATTTGAAAATATTTATATAAGTGAATTTTGGCCCGCTTGAGACATTTTTTAAATTTTGCAACTCTGGTGAGAGCTTGTGGCCTTGGAGATAAAAGAAGAGCTGGTAGGGAAACATAAGCTTTATACGTGCTTATCTTAATAATTGAAATCACTGATTTCTTGTACACCAAATCGATCTTTCAAGGCTGCAGACTTGTCTTCAAGATCTTCATTCAGATGTTTATTCATTAACTGCCAAAGAAGTTTCTTCTAAATTAGAATATTCTTCAAAGAAACATTGAGACACATGTGTATCTGTTGTGTCATGTACCTGATATTATAGTAATATTTTATTAATATCAGCCATTGCAGATTCTGTTTGTTCAAAATCAATGATGTAGTCTGAAATGCACTCAATTAATTCATTTTATATGTTCTGCTGCATTTATGCAATGATCAAGGTATATTCGACAGGATTCATATTCGAAACACCACAGCACAGCCAAAGAAGGGTTATAACGAATTTCGTCTGGAAGAAGAATAGAAGTTCCTCAGACTTATTTCACCAAGACGACATCGGTGGCGCAGAGCCCACGCTGTTATCTTGGGTGATCTCGCGGTTGCCATAGCGACCGCGGGGGCAAATCGCACCTTGTATGTTGAAATTTGACCACCTATATAGGTCGCACTCTAGCCCTGAAGAAGACCACGATATGATCGGTGGAAAGATCGTCATCAATGCCCCCGACGCGGCGGCATTTGATCCGCCGAGAGCCTTCACACTTAAAAACGATTGCCACATTGTCGCAACACTTTTCGCTGTTAAGTCATTAACCCCTGCCTTCTTGCAGTCAGTTTATTTGCAATTTTTGGAGTATTTTCAGGAAACTAACTTCAATAAAACTGGTAGTGCAGGTGGAAGCTAAGAATTTTGACGCCAGACGCTCCAGGCCTCTTCTCGTTCTTTTCCATCTCCATTCTTCTGGAGTTTTGCCAAATCTAGCCGTTGGCGAATCAGATGATAAACCAGAATGTCTCACAGTCGATAGAAACTCTTATTTTGCTTACGTTAGTTAGACATGGTGAATACTTCAGTCAATCACTTATGTTAATTTTTATGTGTATGCGCTATGCGTGTTTCCGTTTGCATTGTGAATGGGCCGATGCCGTTTATGGCGTTCCCTGAAAGAATGCTGGCGGGGAGGGGCAGGGCGACTCCTGGCAGCTTCATTCCTCAAGCAGAAAAGGGTGGCCTGTCAGGCCTAAGTGAACGCCGGAATCTCAAGGTGGGCGTCTCGCGTAGAAAAGTACCATAAAAGACTATTGCAAATGTGGCTCTGGAGGCAGAGTGACCATCGGAATAAGTGGTCCTCTCTGTACCACCTCAATTTGAGGATTGACAGAGAAATGTGAACATCTCACCTTAGAGGATTAAAATACTTCTGAAGAGAGAAACGTTAAGGAAGGGTCGAAGCCATGAAGAAGCAACATCCTCAGGCGAGGGAAACCAGTATAAAAAGTCCACTAGCACTCCAGTTTAGGTGATAGGCCAACATGCCTTCACCGAAAAATATAAAAAAATATTCTAGAGACAAACGCCAAGACTTAGAAGTATAGCCAATCTTCAGGAAAACGCCTTTCGAAATGAAACGAGACAATTATTTTCGGAACTTGGAACACACAAGGCATTGCCACCAAACATGAAGTATTCAAATTTTAAAAAGTTCGGCTCGACGTCTGCGTACTAACGGAGACCAAGAAAAGGGGTGGAAGGGGGAACGGCTATCTGCACTTCTACAGTGGTGTCAATAAACACAAAAGAGGAACAGCAGATGCATCCATCGCAATAAAGAATAAATACGAAAGTGCATTAAATGCTGCGTTATGTCAGTGAGAGAATTACTTTACTGTATTGAAATTTCGAGCGATCAAAGATGTAGCAATTATCGCTATATATCCTCCTACGGATGACAGATCGAAATACAAAGGGCGATGTTGATGAGTGTTTATCGAATGTTATCTCTAACATCAACGTAAGAAAGTAAATTATGATGATGGGGGACTTGAATGCCAGAAATAGGACCTAGGAACGCAATGATGTAGTAGGTAGATATAGGAAACAAATAATAAATGATATTGAGGTTAGGCTTACTGGATTATGTAATGGTATTGACTACGTGCATAAAATCTTTCCAAACATGAGAATCCACAAATATAGTTGGTTCCAAACAACAAATAATCGCCAATCATTATTCGGCTAAATAATCTTAAGGCAGACATATTTATGCTCGCAACGTTTCCTTCTCTGCTCTAAACTATGCTGCTGGAGTAGATCCCCCACTTGATCGACTTGCTGGGTCGATCTCCCTCGACATCGACTTGCTGGGTCGATCCCCCACTTGATCGACTTGCTGGGTCGATCCCCCACTTGGTCGACTTGCTGGGTCGATCCCCCACTTATTCGACTTGATGGGTCGATCCCCCACTTGGTCGACTTATTGGGTTGATCCCCCACTCGATCGTCTTGCTGGGTCGATCCCCCACTTGATCGACTTGCTGGATCGATCCCCCACTTGATCGACATGCTGGGTCGAACCCCCACTTGATCGACTTGCTGGGTCGATCCCCCACTTGATCGACTTGCTGGGTTGATTCCCCACTTGAATTTTTCGACTTGATTGGGTCGATCCCACTTGGTACGACTTATTGGGTTTGATCCCACTCTGATCGCTTGCTGGGTCGATCCTCCACGTTGAATCGATTGCTGGATGATCCCCACTTGATTCGACTCTGGGTTCGAATCCCCACCTTTGATCGACTTGCTGGGTCGATCCCTCCTCACTTGATCGACATTGCTGGGTTGCGTCATCCACTGACGACTTGATCGATCAGAATTTGCTTGGTCGATCCCCCTTGAATCGACTCTCCTGGGTGCATTCCCCTTTGATCGACTTGGCTGGTCGAATCCCGCAACACTCTTGACTGGCGACCCGCGCGTCACTGCTGGGTCGATCCCTTCTTGAATCGACTTGCTAGGTCCGAATCCCACTTGATAGTCAGGTGATCCCTTTGATCGATTGGGTCGATCCGCCCATTGATCGACTTGCTGGTCGATCCTACTTGATCGACTTGCTGGGATGCGATCCACCTTTGATCGACTTTTTTTGCTGGGTCGATCTCTTACTTATCACTTTGTGGGTGTATCCATGATCTTGCTGGGTCGATCCCCCCCGACTTGTAATGACTTCGCTTGTGGGTGATCCTTCTTGAAGTCGATTTTGCTGGGTTGTTATCCCCACTATCCCGATCTCTTGCTGGGGTCTGATCCCTACTTGATCGACTTGCTGGTGTCGATTCCCACTTGTTCGTTTTGGGGCCGGGGCTC